AATAGTCAACAACCGAAATTTTTCGTAGCTCGGAAATATCTCCGCCAAGGCCAGATACAAACCAATCAACCAAATACGTCCCCGAATCCCCATCGAGCAAATGCCACGTTCCGCTCTACGGACCAAGTAAGACCCCTTTCTGATGTGAGCTCACCTGCCTTTCTACCCCTCTGGAAAACACTCTCACATTCCCGCGCTGCAAACGAATCAAAGGCAGTTGGCACGATAAATCCTAAGACGAGTAGGATTAATACGCCTGGCAGGACGGAATTCCGCGACCCTGAGCAGGCGCTGCGTAACGCCTTTTCCAAGAAAGGTACCCTTATAAGGGCCCTATCAAGCTACAACATACCGACCCGAACGCCCACCACGCCGCCCGCCAAATGGACGACCGTACCTGATGCTCGTATTGCTTCATTTGCTAAGTAAAATATGAAGCGAAGGGATTGGTATGAAGCGGCCGCGGTGCTGCATGGATATATGAGTACATACATGCAGCCGTACCCACCGTAGCGGTTATTGGCAAGATGTCTACGGAAAACTCGTCCGAAATTGCTTTTCGAGTCATTAAGAACGAAGGCTTTTCTTCGCAGGTTTTTGACCGTTTCACTTCGTTTTTTCGCCATTTTCTCACTATATAGCGCCCTACTAGCATTTTAGGCCGAGCACCAAATTATCGTGCCAACTGCCTTTAAGCAGCAGATGCATCCTCGAGATCTACTACGGGTCCAATTTGATTGCATTTCAGAACAAGAAAAGAGTGGAGCTAGCACATTCCACGATAATATTGGGCGGAGTCGGGTGTAACGTTGAGCCTTCTTTACTAGTGTGCCTACTCTTTACCGGCTAAGAGGGGAGGGTGCACGAAGAGCACCCTCCCCCCTCTTAGCCGGTAAAGAGTAGGCACGCTAGTAAAGAAGGCAAAATAAAAGGCCCGTCTCCGCCCCTGCCATTAATATGGAAAGTATTTCAGATATCCGATGCTTTCCGTTGAGCAAATGAACAACAGAGACGTAGAAAAAGTGACATATTGGGCCAGGGTTAGTCTTTTAATTGATTGGTTGACTAGAAGTGATTCAGGCAAAACCCATAAAAACGCCCACTCCACAGCCCACTGACTGCTTTTTGCAGTTTTTCGGAATTCTAAGCGGATCTATCTGCGGTTTATTTCCATTATTCTTTTACGATAATCTAACTGCGGAAGAAATTCAACGAAAAGCCAGAGCCTCGGCCTACATGATCAGGGAAAATTATGAAGCCGGTACGTTGAAATGTTAGGATTGGACAGCTTAGAGAAAGTCTTGAAGGTACAGTACGCGATGTTCGTGTGGGCGGAGACCGTTCAAGGCACGATACGCGTTAGGGGGAGGTTGCTAGTGGTATTTAAAATATGGAAGAGAACTCGCCAAGGAACTCATGTTTGGAATTCAGGGGGAGGGAACCTCAAAAGGGCCTCCGCCCTCCTAGTCCCCAGCAATTGGCCAAGTACAGCGGGAAAACTGCGTGGCTTGAGACGAATTCAGTCAGTTAACTCCCTACAACTCCCCACCCCCCCCCCGGACCTAAGACAATGAAACTTCAATTTCATGTTAGTCTTCCACCAGCCTTT